ATCCATTAATTTGATTAAAAAAAATATGTTTGTCCTTGTTTACATGTATTTGTGTAGTGTACATAGAGCTGATTGTATATAACAGCTTAAAACAAAGCCTTACTCATATATTGTGGGGGGGTGGGTATAAGTTTGTGGGGGGCTGTAAGTGTGTGGGTATGTGGGGAGTAGAGGAGGGTGTGGGTGGGTATGGGCTTTGGGGGGTGGGACTGCTTGGAGGGAAGCTAGTTAAGGGTATGCGGGGGTGTGGGTGGGGGGTCTGTGTGTATGGCAGTACGAGGGGGTTGTGGGTATATGTGTATGGTGGGGTGTCTGTGGGACTCACCCTACAAACACACACACACCTGGTGTGGGCCCATGCTTTCCAGTCTGGCAATGCAGCTGGGAGCCATGTGGTGCTAGAGAAGTGCACAGGCAGGAAGGCAGGGAAATGCCTGGGGGTGGGGCAGGACCAGGCTGCTACATCCTGACGCCAGCTTCCCCTGGGTCCTACTGCCTCTGGCTCTTGTCATCTTCGACAGGCAGCCAGGAGCATATAAATATCAATTTTCTAAATTTTTTATGGGCTCCACGGGCTGGAAAGAATGTCCTGGCAGGCTGGATCTGACCTGCAGGCTGTATTTTGCCCACTCCTGATATAAGGACTACTCCATCTGTCTAATGTAGACAGCAGAGGGGCACTGTAAGCAGGTGATGTCATAAATGCAGAAGCAATTAGTGACAGACAGGGGGGACAAGGCTGAGCTCTTCAATGAGTTTTTTGTCTCAGTGTTCCTCAACAGGGCTCAAGATAATTCTCCTAACAGATCCTTAGATGGGCATCAGAGGGACACCAGTCTACCAACTGTCGATGCTGACTTGGTGCAGAGTCATTTGGATGGACAGGATGTGTTCAAGTCAGCAGACCTGAATGAGCTGCATCTGAGAGTAGTGAAGGAACTGGCCGGTGTCATAGCAGAACCACTGGCATGGCTGTTTGAGTGCTTGTGGCACTTAGGTCAGGTCCCAGATGACTGGAAAAGGGCCAATATGGTCCCTATTTTCAAGAAGGGGAAGGAGGATCCAAGTAATTATAGGCCAGTCAGTCTCACCTCCATCCTTGGAAAAGTCTTTGAAAAGATTATTAAGGATCATATTTGTGAGAGTCCAGTGGGAAAAGTAATGCAGCAGGGCAATCAGCATGAATTCGTAGCAGGTAGATCACATCTGACTAATCTGGTTTCGTTTTATCACCAGGTCACAAAACGCTTAGACGCAGGGGTAGAGGTGGATGTAATTTTCTTGGATTTTAGGATGGCCTTTGATACGGTATCTCATTCCATTTTCATAAATAAATTAAGAGGATATGACTTAGATGTTTACACGGTCCGGTGGGTGGCAAATTGGATTTGGGGTTGCACCCAGAGAGTGGTAGTAGATAAGTCGGTATCGACCTGGAAGGATGTGGGTAGTGGGATCCCACAGGGCTCAGTCCTTAGACCTGTACTCTTCATCACGTGGGCGTGAAGTCTACTCTGTCCAAGGTCGCAGATGATACTAAATTGTGGGGTGAAGTGAACATACCAGAGGGTAGGGAACGATTGCAGGCAGACCTGGACAGGTTGGAAAAGTGGGCAGAACACAACAGGATGCAGTACAACAAGGACAAGTACAGAGTGCTGCACCTAGAGCGTAAAAATATCCAGCACACCTACTGGTGGGGAAATGACCCTCTCAGCAGCACAAAAGCAGAAAGGGATCTCGGAATCATGGTGGACTCCAAGATGAACATGAGGCGTCAGTGTGACAAAATCATCAGCAAAGCAAATTGCACATTATTGTGCATCAGCAGATGCATGACAAATAGAACCAAGGAGGTGATACTTCCCCTCTATGTGGCATTGGTCAGACCACAGCTGGAGTACTGTGGCCAGTTTTGGGTGCCGTACTTTAAGAAGGATGTGGATAACCTTGAGAGGGTCCAGAGGAGGGTCACTCATATGGTTAAGGGTTTGCAAGCCAAGCCCTATGAGGAGAAACTAAGGGACCTGGACCTCTTAAGCCTCTGCAAAAGAAGGCTGAGAGGTGATCTTGTGGCTGCCTACAAATTCATTATGGGGGCGCAGCAAGGAAGCAGAGATGCTCTGTTCACCAGGGCGCCTCCTGGGGTAACAAGGAACAATGGTCACAAAGTGACAGAGAGCAGATTTAAGCTAGACATCAAAAAGAACTTCTTCACATCAGGAAGAACTTCTTCACGGTAAGGGTGGCCAAAATTTGGAATCAACTTCCAAGGGAGGTGGTGCTCTCTCCCACCTTGGCGGTCTTTAAGAGAAGGCTGGATAGGCATCTGGCTGTGGTCATCTGACCCCAGCACTATTTCCTGCCTCTTTCCTGCCCAGACTCTATGATCTGTTGAGGTCCTTTCCGACCCTAGCATCTATGAATCTATGATGTTGGTAAAAGCACAGGTGAATGAATCTCCAATGTTATAAGCTGTGTTATTTGGCCTAATGATGACATAGTCTGTATTAATGAGGGGGCACAGCTGGCATCTGGATCCTTTGCAAGGCCAGATGGCACAATGAAAATAGGAGTACAGCAGCCCGTTGCTTGAGAGACACTGTTTGAGTTTCGGGGATGTCTGAAAGACAGGACAGTTTTGTCCACCATGGCTATCTTGAGATGGCTATCATTTTCCAGAAGGGGCTGGTGGTCATTAATGATGTATCCAATGTGTTGAAGAGGAAACACAGAGGAATTCTTGATTCAGCCCAAAAGAAAGGGTTCTACCAATGACTCCAGGTCTTGTTTTACCTGAAAGTTACTCTTCATAATAAAATAATTTAGGATGTAATTTCTTTGCATAGCACAAAATATTTGATTATGATATGATAATATATTTGTGTTGTTGTAGAAAAAACTCTGTTCAAAGAATATGTCTGACAGATGAATGTTTGGTTTTAACCAAAGGAAAAAAATCAGAATTCTGGCGAGAAGCTTTTATTTCTTACAGAGTCCACAAACCTTGGAAAAGGATGTAGACCCAAGGTTTACCAGCTGAAAATAACACTGTAAACAGTAACACAGATGAGAAAGGAATTATTTTATGCGTTGGTATTATCTTCATTTTCTATATCTTTAATGACCCGAGACAAGTAGCTCAAGTGTAAGAAACATCAAAAATGGGTGCAGACAAATGTCCTGATGTCTGAGTCAGATGATGTCAGGACAGCATGGTTTGCTCTCTCTCAAAAGTCTGCTGTTGAAAAGGGAAACAACTCATGGATATATGCAACTGAGTAGACTAATTAAGTGTCTGGAGTTTGCCTCATGAAAAGACAATGTAATGCCAATGACATTTTATGACAGTAATTTAATATACTGTCTATCTGAAGAATAGCATTACACATCAAAATTTTCAAGGAATACCGATTCTCAATCCCAATAAAAAAATTCCATATTTAAAAATTAAGTGTTTTCCCACTGGTCGCCATTTCTACTTGAATATTCAAGTACATTAAAAAAATGAAACCATTTTCATGGGTCCTAATACCTGAAAACGATTTGCCTGCTACAGCCAAACAGACAATGAAAATGCAAGGTTTTTGCTGGTACTGAAGAAAAGTAAATCCTGGGACTAAAACACTTGCAAAGTGGTACTTGTGGGCCCCACCTTATTGGAACAAAGATCTCTGATACCATGACAGCACTTTTGTCTCAGAAGTGGCCACAAAAGTCTCACTTATTAAATTTTAAATATTGATGCTCTGTGTAAGTTTCGGGGATGTCAACGTTTAAAAAAAAAATCACATTTACTTAGGAGAAGCCTGTAACCTCACTGACTCAGCATCAACAATTGATAAAGGAGTAGATTCCAGGAAAGCTTTTTAAGGTCTGTCATCGGAAACAAAGCACCGTCACCAGCATTTGGACCCCTGATGTTTCCAGGTAGCAATAACTTTTGATGATTTCAAAGTTGGAACATCAATAGTAGGATTAGAAATTAGTCATTTTCTGAGTCACTAAGTGGTATGATTCTGAATATGGCTCAATAGATAAGAGAGCTATCTCAGCCTGAACCTAGGAAAGGATTTCCAAGGTTTCTGTGTTGAGGATGTCTTGAGACTTGGGTACCTCAGTTGGCAATGCTGAAGGGCTTTGAAATCAAAAAGGTCCACTTGAAATAATCTTCAAAACCCCAGCCTTTAAATATGTGAATTATATTGATTTAAATCAGGGGAACACCTACCAAAGGAAGGTCTACAGCTTAGACAACTTTTCTTACTGACCTGGGAAGTGACCACTGGCAGACAAAATCTTTAAGTGCTCACATGAGACTAAGCATCTGAAAACAAGAGAAGCCTGCAACAGGTGGTCAGATTTATGAGTGCTGAACTGGTAGATCCTGGAGGAACAGGGGACTATGGCGTCACCTATGAAAATGAACAATCCAAGGTGCCAGGTTCTCAAAATCAGCCAGGAACAATCAAGATGGATCTGAGGGACTTCGAGCCACTTAGAAAATGTCACAGTATACGATTCTCCTGAATATGAGACTTTAGGTAAGTACCTTTAAAACTCTAACCCGAAATCAAAATGCATTTTCAAATTTGAATATTTACAATAGATCTCGCTCAGCTCCACTCATGACTGGTTTCATACAATATATCACATACAAAGTTATTCTGTAGCAGTATTACTCCTTAAATAGTTAAACAATTCACAGCAGTTGTCAAGTGTTTTTAATTTATACTATTTAAGAAATGGCATGGACCTTCATCCTGGTTATGCAACAATGCTCTGTGACCGTGTCGTTTTAACTCTGATGATATAGCACGAAATTTAATGAGTTTCCTAGTTGTATGCAAAAATAGTGCTACTGGCAGAGCTCAGCATTTAATTACCAGGAGTGAGATTCCAAGTTCAAAATGCTTTTTAACCACTAGAATGACATCAACCCATTTAACAAGTGCCTGAAAAGGACTAATATAATTATTAAAGCAAACAAACTACCTTACCTTTTTGAATTCCTTTCATTCCCTGCTTTTTCACTGGTTCTTTAGGAAATGGAGCTCCTAAATCAGTATTTGAGGTTTCTTTAGCTTGTCTGTATTGTTTCAACTGATCAGCAAAATCTTCCAACTTTTCTTCCTCATTATAGCTACCAAAATTTTCATCACTGTAGTTGCCATATTCATCATACTCCTTACTTTTTAATTTTTTGCTATGTTGTGTCTTTTGTGAAGGCATGTAATTTCCTGTG